CATCTAGATAAATCCAAAAATTATTTTGAATAAAAATGTAAAGAATATGGTTCACCTAAATCATCCCTAAAACTATCTATTTACACAGCAATATCCACTATAATTTACTCTTAAAACCTCATGCCGTCTAATTCGATGCGTCGAACACGCTGAAAGCTTCTTTATAGTATAGCAAGGGGTCGTGCTTCTGGCTTTTCCACTGGATCTACTACTATCTTGGCCATTGAATATAATCTTACCTTGAAATTGTGCATAGAAGTTTATATTTCGTACCATGAGTAGAAGAGAAGGAAGTTAGGTGTGATAAAATTGCACATAAAAAAGAGTTGTGCAATCACAAGTCCAGTATTGGTTTAATGTCGCTTTTGTTGCAATCGAAGTGTCACATGGAGCATTCTCGTATACACAAATCAAAACTAATACTTCCATTTATTTTCACACGGATTAAGAAATATTATTTAATGTTATTGAAAAAATAATTTTTACCAAAAACTTTTCTAATACACCCTTATTTAATTATCAACAACTAATAGAAATTATTATTGAAAGTAGTAAAGAATTTGAATGATTTAATTTTCAATTCTCACATTGGTTATAGTTTAGCAAATTAAATAAGGGTATATTAGTAAACAAACAAAACAAAATATTCTTGATAAAGAAATAGAACTGTATAATTGAAACAAGAAATTAAGTCACCCCATATATGAGAGCGAGAGAGTGCTTGTTTAATAATTTAATGTCAAAATCAAAGTCTGTGTCATATGGAACATACTCTTAGACAAATCAAAAAATGGAGTTAATTGCATCAAAATTTATCATTTCTTTGAAAAATAATAGACTAATGCTCGTGAAGTTTTTGGATAAGGATGACAACGAGGCGGGAAGGGGGTCATTTACTACCCGTTGAAATTTTTTTTATTTTTCATAATTTATTTTTATTGCCCATATTCATTTAATTTTGACAAATAATTTTAGTTGTTATTTTCATTAAATTTATCCCCGCCCCGTTTGGGGCAGGGCCCCACGAGTATCGGGTTTGTCGAGTTTTTTTGTTATCCCTATTTTTGGACTTGAAATTGATAATAGCGAAAAATATTGAACGTATGTTATTGTTGGAACTTCTTGAATGAATCACGGAGTCGGGAGTTCGAATCATCTTCGCCCATAGTCAGCCCAAAAGGGAGGTACCTTTCTCTCTTGGAATTAATTGCTTCCTGTCCATTGATTGCTTTCTTTTTCTAAATTTGCTTCCTCCATCTAAANTTCTTTCTCTAAATTTGCTTCCTCCATCTAAATACGCTCAACTTGTTCAGATGAATAGCAAACAAATATTTACACCACAAATAATTAAAACAATGTTATCCATATGACCTTTCTCCACGTATGTATATATGTTTGAAAGGGTAAAACAGAGGATTCCATTCCAACCGACAAAAATAGATTTGCTGACTCGGACATGTGTCATTGTCACCTTACCTATGATTTGTCTTTTGTGGATAAGAATTGTAAGAAAAACTGTGTAACTTGATCTTATCCATTCTAACGTCTTGTTGGGTTCACATTATTTTTTTATTCTCATTCTTTTACTCATTTTTAACCACACATTTTTCAATAAAATAATATTTTTATCACATCAATAATTTTTTCTTCATTTTTAATCACACATTCTCTATCAATCTACTATTCAATAATACATTCTTTCAAAAGAATGTGTCTCAAACACACGCTAACACATAAAGATACACACATATGTATATACATATATAGCCTATGAAAAGTCTATTGGATAATATTGCCACCTAGTTTGGCTCCTATAAATACTCAACAAAACACAAACTTTTATCATCCATCCCTATATTTTCCATCCACTGTTTGTTGACTTGCTTTTGAAGGTCTATTTTATTGTTAGAGAGGAAAGAAGAAGAGGAAGAAAGGAATTTAGAGAAAATGTTGGCAATATTCAAGAATGGTTTGGTGAATCCACCAAAGGAATTGAATAGCCCATCTTCATTAGATGCTTGTGGAAGGATTAAGAGTACAGAGGAGACTTTGAAGGATTTCTTGGCTTCTCATCCCACCAATGGCTTCTCTATTGGATTTGTAGACAAGGCATTGTTGGCTTACGCCCCGCCTCAAAGCCCACTCATGGCAAATAAGAGGTAGTCGTTGAACCACAGCATCTAAAAGTTTAAATTGTTAGAATAAACAAACTTACAATGTTTCTTGCAAGACTGGTACCGCATGAAACCATCTCAACACATCCCGCGTATTATATTTTTGTATATCGATCTCCCTCTCGATGTCTCTATCTTGAATTCCTTTTCTTGTGGGTATATATCTGAAAGTTGTATAATATGGACCACAGAAATGACAGAATGAATGAAATGGCTGTAAATATATTGATCAAGGCTATGATATTGCAGGTTCTTCTGTGGTGTAAATGACATGTACTGCATTTTCCTGGGGAGTTTAAACAACTTGAGCAACCTTAACAAGCAGTATGGGTTATCAAAAGGTGGAAATGAGGCCATGTTTGTGATCGAAGCTTATCGGACCCTTCGTGACCGGAGCCCAATCCCAGCCCATCAAGTCCTTCAAGATCTCGAGGGTAGCTTTGGATTTGTGATCTATGATCACAAGACTGGAACTGTGTTTGCAGCCCTTGTAAGTACTCTTTATCCTCAAAAACTGTTATCCTACGACTGACAGGCTGTTCTCGATAAATTTAGAGTCGACTATATAAAACATTTGTTTAATCAATGTGGGCAGGGTGCAGATAAAAGATTGAGTCTTTATTGGGGCATAGCAGATGATGGTTCTGTTATGATCTCTGACAATGTGGATCTCATTAAAGGTAGCTGTAGAAAATCATTTGCTCCATTCCCTGCTGGTAAGTGAATTATCTATAATTTGAATTTAATCTAAGAATATTTCACAATCTGATTCAAGTTTTGGGTGAATGTTGAAGGGTGCATGTACCACAGTGAAAGAGGATTGATGAGCTATGAACATCCAATGAATAAAATGAAAGCCATGCCCAGAATTGACAGTGAAGGGGTGATGTGTGGAGCTAATTTCACAATTGATAAATTTTCCAAGATTAATAGCATGCCCCGGGTTGGGAGTGAAGCTAACTGGGCAACCTGGTTCGAACAGGCTTGATGTAGAAGCTGAACAATCAATACTCTCTCTTCATTATGTGTTAATTTGATGTTATCTTCTTCCTTTTGTGAACTTTTCGCGTTCCCCTTGGCCTGTAAATTTAATCGTTGAGGGTTTATACAAATAATTTCTATGTTGTTATTACGTAGTCTTTTTATAGACCTCAGTAAACTTTCATTCATAAGATTAACGAGAATATTTCAGAGATAAAAGTGGAGTAATTGCTTTGAATCTTCCCAGCATTTACACATTATCTTCCTTCGCTAGTCAACCAGTGAAATTCATCCATTCATGGTCGCTCTATCTAATGAATCCAATTCAATTCAATGCTCGCGGAAGTATTGACGTAATCTCATAGAGACATTCAGTCTAAATGTTCCGTGAAGAACATAACACATGTTGGAACGAGAAGACCTAGGATTGAACCAATTCTATGGCAAAAACGAATTCAAATGAACGACACATGATCGTTGTTCATATCATAGTCCTGTTATGGTTTGAACATTGTTTGCTACTAATGAAGAATTGAAATGCATTAAAGTTATCACGCCTAAACCCATCTCAAAGCATAGCATTATGTACAAAATATCAACCCTAAACTATATATCTATGAATTGTCAATATTCATAAATATCATCCAGAGACCCTAAAACACCTATATGTTCTCTGAATAAGTTTTTTTATGCCTGAACCGAGAATGAATAATTCCACGCAGCAATCGGCCAAATCCTGTGACCAACACTGACTAGATGACTTGGGCAAATAAACAACGATATATCTACGTGCATACACATCGAGATGGTAAGCAAGACTCCAATCATTGCATGGCTTGAAAAGATAAAAGTGATATATTCTACACGACTCGAACCCATGCTCCACCACACATTGGGCACCCATATGCCCAGCGGCTGATCCACCATGTTTCTTTCTCATTTTGATTAGAAGAACTACCAGAACCAGGAGAAGCAAAAGCTGAAGTCTGCCGCAAACATCTTATGCACTGCATAAGAAATTAATAAGCAAAATAATAAGTGAGACAGAAAATTCAAACAAAGGAACATAAATTAGAAAGAAAATGCTTATTTACAGCTGCTGCAAACTAAAATTATTCTTTATCATTATTTTTTTGTTTTTGTTTCTTTAAGAAACTGTGTTTCAAAAGCACATTTAGACCAGCAAAAGTAATGTAATAAATGATTTTCCATACTACATTAATATTTCCTTCGCCATGTCATAAGTCAAGAGGCGGAGTCTTGAACTAAAGCAAAAATGAAAGTCATGTGACTGCTTTGGGTGAGAAAATAGTTAGGTGACTTAAATGAAACATTGCTACAGGTCAGTCGTGACTTAAATGAAACATTGCTACAGGTCAGTCATCTAAGACTTTTTAACCGGGTAGGACTCGATCATTTAAACCATAAACTTCCTCCATAAATTCCAATTGTCACGATCCAAGTTATCTTTTATCGACGAGGTTGCTAATGTTTTACCTACACATACAATCCCACAAAATTGATTAACCAAGACTTAAGAGAGAACGACCTTATAGATTTTTCCACTCTCTAAGTCAAGTATTTGAACACATGGAATTGCAAAAAGATTCTCTAACTTGAAAGAGTTGTGGACGGAAAACAAAATACAGAAGCAGGGAAATTAAGGACAAAACAAGCGAACTGGACAGCAAAATATCAAGTTCAACACCAACTGAAAGTACCTTGTACCAGACTCCTTCAAGCCCTGTTTTCCACACAGCTGTCACGACATCTCTTCGGGAACCCATTATACCATAATATGCTCCAAGGCCGACCGAAGTGTTCAATCCAAAAGCTGCATCTCTTTCAGACATCCTACGTTTCCTCGGCCACAAGCCACGAGCTCCATAATGAGAAACACGGTCCTCCGATGTCACAGAATCAAGCATATCCGATAAGCTGTTAAATCTAGTACCATCATCTGTAAGACTAGTATCATCTGGATCAGACCAAGGTCCCCCAAACATGTTCCTCTTGTGCCATTCTTCAGCTGGAGGATGGAGTTCCAACTCACGGAGAAGCAAACCTGCAGCATCAGCACCTCTAGGCCGAGGCATGTTCTGTAAGAAAAATACATTAATAAATGGAGAAATTGTCCATTTATATACAATGGTTTTATTTTGAGTTCAACATCACTTCAGGCATGATGGAAAATAGTACATGACTGAAAGCAGATATAGATTCAACGGACAGAAAGTACCTGCATATGAGGGCCCAGTGATGCTTCTACAACCTCCGGCAAAACAGTGTAGTTTCCATCAATATAATGAAGACGGACCTGGATGTTGCCGCTTCCAACCTGAGAAACAGGCAACGGATGTCCCAGACCTGCCGTCCTCCGGCAAAGATCCATGAGTATAAGAAAGAGAACCTTCACCTGGATAATCCAAAATTATCCAATAATATGAGAAAAGGGACAATCCAAAATAAAATCCCTCCTAGTCAACGTTAATAGGTATTTGGAAAAAGCTGCAGTTTTCATGCCATCTGAACAAGCACATTTGTTTTCGTGCCATACAGTTCACAATTCTCTTGTTATGCAAGAAATGACTGAAAAGAGTCACTTCTTCGTGTTGGTAAATAAGATAACTGAAACGAGATGTATTCCTATATTAATTGATGCATAAGCAGATATATTGTGTTTTTTTCGGGCCAAATATAGCTATGCAACTATCTTGATAATCATACTATTGCTACCAAATACTGCTGATCCTGGAAGGCTCAAAGGTGATACCTAACAGTTTGAGTAAAAACTGAATTTTTCAAGGATTTCTCATAAACCAGGAGACGTCTAGCATAAGCATTTACACATGTCAAAGAATAATTTCAAGCACCTCTCCTCATGCATGACTCCACAAAGTTGATATTTTTATTTATGTTTCCAAGGGGCTAGACAAATATTATAGTTCGGTTATCTTCCTCTTACAAGAAATTTGAAAAGAAATAAAAATAAAAATTATTTACCTCATCAAATGTATATCCTTGACCAGCATTGCCGGAACCTAATCTTGACCGGCTAGTTGGACCTTCTTCAGGTCCTTTTGCCACAGTGGCAGCCTGTCCAGACCTTGTCACTTGTGATTCTTCTGACCTGACAGTAGCTGTTGCTGGTTTTGCAGGGATAGAGTTGGGTTCTTCTACTTTACCTGCAGTGCTAAGCTGAGTCCTTTGTGTAGATGAATCAGCATTTCTTTGAGCAGCCCCAATAAAACGGGGTAATTGTGTTCGCCGAAAGAAAAAACAAAATAGCAAAAGTTGGCATAAGCGATGAAGAAAATGGCAGTCTCCTATAAGCCTAACAGCTGGAGTCCCAGGAAAAGTTCCCGTATTGATACTTATAGGCATAAAGGTCGAAGGACCACTTATGGGGTTTGGAGCTGAATTTGGAACGCCATCAGTTGTGCTGCTAATCTTGGCAATAGCTCCTTGTACCCAGGCTTGTATCTGAGTACTTCCTGTGGAACTAGCAGTTCCACCTTGGGCTCCTGAAAATGATGAGGATATGAGATATCCAAATAGCAAGGTCAGGCAGTAAGAGAAGAGAGGATAAAACAGGAAATGAAAAAGAGAACTTCCGTTTAGTTAGTTCAAGCTGAATGTAAATCTGAATTCCTTATCTAATTATAACATCTCATGTAAAAATTGGCAACTAGGAGAAAAGAAGCACTGACCCTGAGTTGTAGGAGTAGCAGCACTTTGAGTTGGACTTGTCACCATATTCCGACTCCCACCTGTGCCTGCAGTAACGGCGTGACTCGCCAAAGTACGGCAGAAACTTGCATAACGTCTCAAACGCGTGATGAAGTGTGATGCTAGATCAAGGACTGCATCAACATAAGCCTGCACATATGTTCTGGCAGTTAGAATGCCGAGCGCCCAAGGGGAGACAACATAAGTAGAAAGAAACGAATTATACAAAGACAAATAAGTTCAAGGAAAACATGGAAAGAGATAAACCTGGACGCTAAGGACAAGTGCTGGTTCAACAACCATTGCTTCGGGATCAATACCAGACAGCATCTCACCAGATGCATGCCATGGTTCTTGTACCAAAGCTGAAGGATTTATTAAAGCTGATTCAATTCCTTTACCAAGCATATCCAGCAATAACCTTGCTTGCATGTCAAGAACCATAGCCCTGACCTCTTGAGCAGTTGTACCTTCAAGTAGCCTGCACTTTATTCTGTCCAAACTCTACATCATCCAAACCAGGTCTATCAACACTCAGAATTAAAAATGAAGCATATAAAATAGTAGTAAGAATTAACAATTAAAGGGGTCTTACAGGTCCATACTGCTGTCGGTGCTGAGTAGTAGGAAGTGAGTGGAAATCCGTGTCCAACACAGCAATAACACTGTTAAGCGAAACTGGCATGGTAAAATTCTGCCATCAGCAAAAGTAGCCCAGGATGCAACTATAATAGCTATTAGAATGGTCATAAGCAATAAGATACTTGTTCCTCGGAGTACTTTTGGTAAAAGTTGGACTAGCAAAAGTAAAATAATTGAAATAAATTCCTCCAGGTTACAGAACAGGAAGAATGGTCTTGGTCTATAAATGGCCCAAAATCTAAGCATAAAATGCTAATTCGACATTACTTTTCTTCTTTAGGGGAAAATGGTAATGTTGTGCTGCTGCCAAAAAGAACCACAACTCTCTTGGCACAAAAACTTTGAAAAATTGCACTAATCCAAGGTCACATAAACTTCAGTTAGGAAGGTTTCTTACATTGCGAACACTAATGCCATTTTAATATGGAGGAAAAAGACAAGCAAATGTCTTATTTCCACATTCTAGACTCAAAAGTTATCCTAAACATTGGCAAAATAGCATTTTCACGGAAAAGTATTAAGCATTCTTACCAATGCCGTCCTCTGCGGCACTCTGTGTACAACCAACAGCATCCCACCAATCAACTCCCACAAGAAGACTCCACCAAAATCTGCCAAGACAGGAGAGGACATTAAGGCAGTAAAATACATGGTGCCACAAAAAAAAAAAAAAAGAAAATCAATAGTTATACTTTAGATTTTAAACCCGGACCAGGCATCGACCCGGAAAAGTGAAAGGGCAAACGGGGTAGTTAAAATGTAAAGATAAATAAATATATTTTCGAATAGGAAACAAGATACATTATAACAGTGTTAATTGAAAATTTTGGAGAGTTTTTAATTTTTATTAATTAGTGAAAAATAGAAAAATGATTAATTAAATTAATAAAATAAATAACTATTTATACAAGTAATTGTATAATACACTACTACCAAAGGGATTGCCTTTTTTTATCCCACATCAAATTCTCACTACCAAATCACTGGAGATGCATTCTATAAATTAGTGGGAAAAAAATTAGTTAAGCAACTTTCTGGTTAGTGGTTAAACCGGCCAGTTAAACAGTTTTTTACCGATTTTAAATTTAGTGGGTTTTAAGCTTTAACGGGACTGGAATTTGGATAGGTTCGTGGGTTATCTGGTTGAACCAGCCAGTCCAGTCCGGTTTTTATAACATTGCTTTAGATACAAACAACATTAATTAATACATATCACCACTTGTGTTATCAAAATTCAGCAGCAACCCTGCCACTGTATACCTCTCGGCAATAGCCCGCTCCCACGTTGCAGAATTGGCTTTAACTTGACTATTAGGAACAGGAGGAGGAAGAACACGAACTATCTTTAATATGGCACAATCATTGCTGGCATCGTGCCAAACGGAAGCTGAACAACAACTCGTAGAAGAGAATGCAGGAGCAGCAATTGCAGAGCCAACATTGATCTGGTAGTTATCGACGGGCATGAAGTTTACACCAGAAAAAACATGGACCCCACCACGTAGAAAAGCAACAGCAATCTCCCCGCCATGAGCAGAATACACAATTCGAGCAAGAGTCCTAACATCACTGGGCAAATCAAAAGGATCAAAACTGATCCGCTTTGCAATCTCACCCCCACATTCATTCATAATTTTCCCATCACGAGTTGATCCAGTAGGTGTTCCTGAAATCGTGAAATCACTAGATGCTGGAATGCATTTAATCACTTTACTCAACCAAACTGTCTGCTTGGGTGCCTGTCCATCAAATTTTGTGGGGTTTCCAAATATCTGATGGATCACAACATCCTCGACAGATGATTCCCAACGTTGAACTCTCCATCCTGTGACTGAAGGACCCTCATCAGGATCATAAGGGGACATGTACTGTCCTGCAAAAAATTTCAAAACAATGTTTAGATTTTGCCTAGGACAAAACAATCCGTCACGTGACAGCCTGGAAAATAACGTATTTCTGGATAATGTGAAACAAACAAAAGGATGCCAACATTTAATTGCTGAAGAATGGAAATCTGCATGCATCTTAATTAGGTTGGGATTGATATGACTCAACTGTAAAAAATAAAATAGAATAGGTCAATGTGATAATGGAAAAGAACTCCACAAAAATGATTTGCCAGAATAGGGATAAAGCATCAAAACAAGATAAACGAGGAGTTGAAATAGTATGATCCAAGAAAACACTACCAGGAGCATGGGACATGTACTTGAGATCACATCACTCCTCGCATGGTGATAGAAATTCACAACAAATCGCCAGTTTTAATGTTGTTCGCACCTCTTAAACCTTGTGTTTCCAGTATGAAATAATCAAGGGTATATATAAAAGAAAGCCAGTAGAGATCTAACACATAGAATAGGTCAAGATCACATATCAAAGAAAGGTTAAATTCTTCTTTTGATTAAGAGGGTAAAGAAAGTAAAGTGGTAAACTTTGAACCCTCAGTTGATGAAAATTTGAACATGCAGGATAAGGAGAAAGAAAGATCAGTTCAAGTGAAAGTACACATTCATACCTTCAACTATCACAACAGCTATCACGGAACCACCACGTGTTGGATCAAAGGCAACAGCAGTGACCCCAGAGCCCCAGGTTGTCGTAGCCGCTGATTGAGCCGCAGCCTCGGGACTCACGTAAGCAGAAAAGTTTGAAACTGGTGAACAATGAAGAGCTACCATGTCACTACAATCTTGCTCTGTGTGTTTCTTCCCTTGCTTCGCTTCTAATATTAAATACTCCTGCCAGCTAAACAAATATGCAGCAAGAGGAGCAAAACCTTCCCATGAAGGAGGATTAAGTGATGGCGGGACTTCGCTGCTCACACTGGCCTTTGGAGTAGTTTGAAAACCATTTCCTGGGCCAGGTGTAACCTCCCAAACAACAACAGTTGATGGGTTCACAATTGGAACGCCTGCCACATGCATGGCACCAGAATCTGTAATAATTGCATCCGCAGCCATAATCCCGCTAGGCCCAGCTCCCAACAGACCTTTACTTGTGCAAAACCACTTTGATGGTGTACCACTCTGATTAGGAGGCCATTGGGACCAATGGAGCTGAACAGAGCCCGACGAGAAAACAGAGCACACACACAGAAAATTTGGCCAACCAGCTGTACCCAAAACCAAAAGGAAACAGCATTACCTAACGAAACATAATATGATGTTCACGTCTGATGGAAGATGACTCTTGGGAATAAAAAATCAATAAATCTCATCCGGATAAATTTTAAATCTCCTTCTTGAGCTATAATAGCTAGTTGCCTCAAGATGACTAAATTAATTAATTGTAATAGCAACTGACTCTGTTCGAGTTTAAGAAATTACAGTTGACTGCTTCACTTAATATAATTTTCTTGTGATTTTCACTTCTAATTTGAGAAATGGATGTTTTTTTTTTTTTTTGATAGGTAAGAAATGGATGTTGTTATTATATGAACCAGTATAAATTCAGGTTGTATGACAGTGCTGACATCAATGGAAATATTTCTTCCTCGTTACAAGAAACAAGATTTTCTGCTTACATAAAAATGCAACTTAAAAAATAAAATAGTCATAAGAGTGCTATTAAATCTAATGGGATACGCCAAGATCGAACCAACCTGGAGCCTGTGGCAGCTGTGAAAGGAATTTCTCCTCAAATGTTGACTTTGTGGAACCACTAGATCTGGCAGAGAGCCACCTATACTAATTTTATGGCAAAACAAGTCACAAAATAAATGTATATAAGCATGTGTTCAAATTTAACTAACCAGGAGATCAAAAAAAAAATGCATACCGGAGAAACCCCTGATAGCCACTTTGTAACAACTGCAATGTCCTGGCGCCACTCATATTCCAGCTGCCAGTAACTAGCCTCTTTTACCAAATTAGCAGGACCCTGAATGAATAAAATAAAGTGAGCTCAATAAAAACATGAAAGAAGAGTAACTCAACGAATACCATGTGAAAAGAATTGTGACTGAGAATAGATATTGTCTAGTCTAAGTATTTTACTAGCAAATTAGTAAGACGTTTAAGAAACGAGAATGTTATAGTTTCATAATTCAACAAGCCCAATAGGGCTAGCATACTTGGGAAGGCTGAGTCCAGATGGTAATCCGGCCGTGAAAATTAGCTATAAGCAAGGCACGGGGAGAGGAAGTAGGTGACCACTCGATGAACTGAACAGAGTCACGTGGAGAATCTGCCAAAACATCGATGATCACAGATCACAATCCAAAATAAAGACTGTAAATATAAAAATGGATTAACAAATTGTCAAACATAGTTACATCAAACTGAACCTAGAGAATTTCAAGAACCTGAGTTACTAAGACGAATGGTGACAACTATGTCAATAAACATCATGAAATTAATAGATCAGAACCATCCTTTTCTCAAGCCCATAGTGAAACACATAAGATATAAAATAAAGGCACTCAGATCCAGAATTTTTCTTAAAACATGAAGAATAGTAAAGTAAAAAATGATCAAAAAATGAAATAACAGACTGGACAACACTACCAAGAAGCAGTGAGACAAATTTTAAAATGTTAGCATATCAACCACAATAATATCAAATGGCATAGATGATCCTGAATTAAATTTCAATAACGCAATGCCAAATATTAGTCAACATATGCAATACCGTAATATACATATTAATGGACTTTAGTCTAGCATTGTCATAAAATACCAGCATTAAGTTATAGGTCAAACCTGCTATAACATTAAAAACTGTACACTCGGTGGGCCGCTCTGGAATCACTATATGTATTGGGATCCAAAATGGAGGATTTGCATTCGAACTACAAAGACAATGGAAAAATGATTCTGGAGTTAATTATGTGTTAATTCACCACAAGAGATCAGTACATTACAGTATTACACATCTCCCAAATGTTGTGACAACAATGTATTTTATTGTGCCATTTGGTAGTGAACACTGAGCTATCAGGTCAACTATTAGCTACCAAATAATCAACTTTATTTGAAAGAACATCCCGATTGATGAAATACTTTATCTCGTTGGACCTTGGGTCATGAAACTTTATATTTTCCGCAATAACAATCACATCAATTGTACAGTGGCCAGTTCAATATGATGAAGAGTATAGCCATATTCTAAATTTTCCATTGATTTTCAAGTGTGCCAGTAGTGGGATCCCAAACCTTTAAAATAAAAAGAAATATATGTTTCAAGATGTAACAATGTTATGCCTGTTTTAAAGAAAGAAAGATTTCTAGTTTGATCATCTGACCTTGGGATTCTTGCACAAGTTTCTGATGCACAAGCTATAGCATTTAGCTTTCCACACCAAGCAACAACACTGGAAAAAGATGATGAAACTTGTCGTAAAAATCAGCTAAAATTGTGAAGAAGAATAAAATAAGTTCCCAAAAAAAATACAAAGTTTAAGGGGAAAAAAGAAGAAGAACTGAGATAGATAACAAATAAAAAAAGCGAAAGCCTCAACCTCTCAATGAACAAAAAAGGCAAGCACTTACGTGCAAAAAAGCATAAACAAGGTAATTATCTTTCAAAAACCCATCTTCCTTGTCCACCTTCTTTCCATTCTAGTAAATGTGAACTCGGGCCCACGCCATTGAAACAGCTTCTTTGATCATCAAGTCCCAAATCATCAAGCACGGTCCTCTTTTAACCATCAAGTCCCAAATATATTTTTTTCACTTTATAGATTAACTTCTTACATCTTAAGGTGTTTGGCAAATGGTTCAATGCCCACTTGTCTGGGGCCACAACTTTGTTCCATTCAGATGTTTCATTTCTTCAAAAATTTAGTTGAACAGTTGCAACATCCGTCAACACTTTCTGCCAACCATTGTTTTGAAAACCCTCTCTGAGGTTTACGCCTCAAAGCCACTTCACACAAGGCTTTCATAAAATGCCTCAAATGCCATTTATGAGGCTTATGCTTTGTGGTGTTTGCTCATTTGTTTTAGACATTTATAAACTGGCTTAGCTACCAGTAGGGATGACATAATAAATTTCTCCATTGTTTCTACTTCTAGTAGTTTATAATTTTTTATGCTCTTAATTTGAGAACTCAATTGATCAAGCCTTTTTAAACATTATTGCCAACAAACATATATTTTTTTAATAATCCTATTAACCAATTCAAGCCTCAGGCCCTCGGCCTCAATTTTAACTGAGAACACCAGTTAATGCAATGACTGAATAGTAAGACTTCCTAATCTTATCATTTCTTTCCCTTACTCTCACATACAGCATTCTTTTCTTCTCCTCTCCTACTATTAATCATTTTATTCAATTTCTTACCTGGGGAATTGTCGTCATCATTTGCCATCATCACTAAGCCTCATAATTTTACTCTTCCCGAGTTTTTCTCAAAACTTCTAGTGCTCGTAAACACCTATTTACTTCAATAATCATTATAGGTTTCCCTACAGTGATTGAGAAGCTTGGATGAAGGTATACATCTCTCTTCCACTGTGTGATGAAGAAAGTTGTTTGATAGCTTTTGAAGCAAAGAACATAATTACCTACTTTAAACTAGCTAATATTTAAGAAATAAAGAAACTGTGCGAGAAGTATGTCCCAAAGGAGAAACAAAGCAATTTAAGATATAGTCACCAAAGATGAACCATTAGATGAAAACAGGTTAACTATGTCCAACCGCTAATTTATGACCCATTAACTTCGCATTTGTCTTTCAATTTTTAAAGCAATAAAACAAGTTTCAACAAAAATCGAAAAATGCACTTTAATCATCTGCAAATTTAAATATATCAAAAGACAAGGCCTCTATTATTTCAAAAAACAAAGATGCAATTTTTAAAATTTCACTTTGGAAAAAAATTAATCTTTTAGCTGAATTGTCAAGCAACTGAACCCCCAAACTCGGGCATTATTACATTATCAAGTGGAAATCGACCATCAGAATTAACAAGCAATCGAATTCAAAACCACGCGATTCTGATCAGATCCATCAATTCAAGCTCGAAAGAACACAGGGGAATCACCTGAAAGTGCGGCAGAGCTCCGGAACACTCATTTTATGGAGTAAATTGGATTTCGGTTGCTTAAGCCTGATACTAAAAACGGTAGCTGGGTTCACCGAATTCTCTTCAATCGGATCATCCGCTGATGCCGACGCCGATGCCGTCTCTTTCTCGGCCATCACCACGTCCTCTTCTCCAGCACTTGGAATCTCGGGTTTATCTGAATTATTGTTCTTAGCAGCTGAAGGAGGAGAAACTTCGAGGGCAGGAGAGGATTGCTCTTCAGAGTCGTTAGCACCAGTGATTGATGGTGCTTGTGGGGATTGATTAGACTTGGTATTATTAGTATTATTCATTTAGAATACCAAATGACCAAAAACCCTAATATATTAATATAGATGTGTATATATAGAGAGAGAAAGTCGGGAAAATGGTGCGGAAAGGCGCGATTGAAGGCGACAGGAATGACTATTGTAAATGAGAGAGAAAGAGGTGGTGGAATTTTGGCTTTACGGACGGAAGTGGGGTTAGGGTTTTGTTTAATCCAAGGGGACAGCCAATTGAGGTCGAGGAGATTCCATGGCTGCGAGGAAAGTGGGAACTAGCAAGTCAACATCTTAGACCTTTGTGTCATTTCTATTTTACCGTTTCACCCGTTAATCTATAATACAATTTTCTTGCAATATCAATTGTGGATTCTTGTCCTTCGTTCCATCCACCTTCTTCTTATCCGTAATGACAAAAACATTTCCCTTATTCTTTTAGAAAAATGTTATTTGGACACCAGGGTTACAGACCCCCTCACAAGAGAGGAGGCCCACGATAGGTGTACTCCGGTATACAAATAGCATGGTCCATTCTTTTATTAGAATAATTCATAGTTGGTCAGTCTACGGCACGTCTTCTCGCTTTTCGTGAATGTATCTCCGCCTTTGTCTCTTCTTCTTAAATATACAATCTTCCATAAAATAATATTACACATAAATTAAAAAAATTTCATTTTTTCAACCACACATTCTTAAAAAACACACTAGTTCAAAAATTATAATATCAAATAATAGAGGTCAAGCGCGAGCCTTGTATTTTCTTTTAGGATGACTCATTGGTCGAGTCAAACCTTCCACGAGCCACTTTTGTATTTTAGAAAAAAAAATCCTAAAAATGAGCTAGGACTTGTAAAGAAGGGTGTCCAATGGAACAATTTTCAGATTTAAAGTTTCAAGGGAAAAATTCACAACTTAGGTATTAACAATGGAACAATTCAATTTTCAAATTTAAAGTTTCAAAATTCAAGATGATAAATAAATAATTAAATATATTTTACTAATTAAATATATTAAGGTCACAATTGTTACGTCTCGTAGTTGAGGCTCCAATCAGAAGATCATTTTATAGTCCACGTGGAGATGTAACTCAAATCTGAACAAATCAATGAAAACTCAATTGGTCAAAATAAAGAACTCAAAGAAAAGCTGATGTTCCGAAACTCCCCCTGGCCGGAGTCCTCTAAGAAAAAGTTGGCGTCATTCTCATCTGAAGAACTATATAAGTGGCTAAAGCTCTGAATTCGAAGCACTACATAAGAAGTCAAAAAACGAGTCGAAGCTCTTTGTCCTACAACTCTTCACACCGAAAGACGTCCAAAACGAAGCTCCCTTGAGTTGAACCCCTTGTTGTCTTTTAGAGAATCTACAAATAATCTTTAGGAGTGATGGTGATTGACCCATTATCAATTTATTAAATGTATAGCAAATGGAGTGATCGAAGACTTCGGCCTAAGAGATGAGGCCACGTGGTTCTGATCTGACGATTACCACATCGGCTAGAACTCTATAAATAAGCAACTCTAATAACATTTGTAAGGAGAAGAAAAGGAGGTAACCCTTTACGCTTGAAATCACATTCAATCTTCTCTCTTGCTTATTCCATATTTATTTGTTTGAGTTTAGATTACTTCTACTTTGTTTGAATTGTTTACAATTGTTTGTTTATATGCAATCATTTTTATCATATTACCGGTGCTTAAATATTTTTGTCTCACGTCGAAAAACATCTCTCACGTCCATAAACATCATCATTTTCCGTCCAAATCTCCGGTTATAATGTGTTGGAATTTGCTTGTATAGATGCAAGTAGGCTCTACATATTTTGTCCACATAACCATTATAAAAAAGGGATCAACAACAATTATACAATTAATGATCACACGTATGTATTTATAAGTCACAACTTATTTATTGATCACATATTATCAAATCCATTGGTCACGGATTATTTCATGTTCATAAAATCAAAAAATCTATAGAACACAATTTATTCATCGGTCACAAATGACAAATTTTATAAGTCACAACTCAAATTTTTAGGTCACATATTATTTATTAGTCACAAATTAACCAATTATATTAGTCATAATCAATCAAATAATTTGTGACCACCACCACCCTTTTTTGACCATCACCTTGACATCACACCACACGTAGAACCACCGTCAAACACCACCACCGCTAGAGCCTTCCCTACCACCTCACAACAGCCAATCAACACCACTGCACGCGCACACCACCATCTAGCTATCTCATAGCATCGATCTGAAAGAGTCCCCAACCCAGCACTACTACCTCACCACCACCACAACATCAACACCACAACATCAACACCAATACCAAACAACTGCAGCAACGTTGCCCAACACCTACATCAAACAACTGCAGTGTCGTCATCCCCAAATCCCATCACCACCTATGACAGATATTGAACCTCCAAACAAAAGGCCATTCGAGGGTGACTGAGTATTGCTGCAATGGCTAAGATCTGAAAGCGAGCACAGTTCACCGCTGCAGCAGTGCTCAGATTCGAACACCGCCACAAGAAGGCATTTTAGAGTGTCACTAGGCGAATATAGTAGATAGATCGACGCCGATTCAAAGCGTCGACACCGATGAAGAAGAAAAGAAAAGGGTAGAGAGAGAGCAGAAATTGGGAGGGAGGGAGGGGGGAGGAGAGCGATAAATCTAAAACTTGTAGAGATAGAAAAGATATAGGATATTATTAATAATTCAATTAATACCTATTTTTTGATTAAATAAACCTCACGCCTGATTTTAAAATTAGAAAGCTTAAATACATGTTTATGTGTAATTTCCTCTTCAATCAATGGCTCGTCTTAAAATTGAGTTCGAACCGTCCACGAATTGTCAAAGCATAAAGAACAATGTTATCTATCATCAATAATGCTAGAGCACCAATTTAACTAGTCAAACTTAATATGTTCAATTAAATATATCATTTGAACACATAATTGTCACTGAAACCAATGGTCAACGCCGATGAAACTGAATAGCACTACTCAATATAAAAAAGTATTGAAGTTTTTTATTTTGTTTAAAATAAAATCCTAAAAATGAGCTGGTTCGTAGGCTCTGCCCCATGAGCCGAGCCCACTCGACTCATTAAAAAAAATGTGTCATATTCAATCAATGACTCATCTAAAAATGAGTTCGAACTGTTTATGAATTGTCAACATTTAAAGAATAATATTATCTATCATTAGTAGTGTCAAAACACCAGTTTAACTAACTGATCACACTTAATATATTCAATTAAATAGATCATTTGACCAGATAGTTATCACTTAGATCAATGCCAAATATCTTTGGAGTTGAATATCATTACTCAAATTTAAAAAATTATAGTTTTGACGACCTAGCAAATGATTTGTCATGTGTTGCATTAGTCGACTTCATCAAAATTTCAAACTAATTATTTGAATAGTCACTGAACTTTCAAAAAAAAAATTTACTTGAACTTTAAACTTTAAAGAGTTTTAGATTAGTCGCTTAACATAATATTTGGTCTCTTATCCGAAATTGAATAAAAATAAATAAATAACATTCGCTGCAAAAAGCTGGACGATGCAATACTAGTTTACTGTTAAGCTCCAAGTTAGTAGGCCACGTAAAAAGTAAGCACGGCACAGCCGAGGGGATTCCGGCACATTTCATGTAAGCACGGCACAGCCGAGGGGATTCCGGCACATTTCTATAGCAACAATAGCTACATGCTCGATCCAAATTTTATGATGATTAATATTTTGTTCATATTATGTTTGTGTTATCAAACTTTTTGTAATCATTGTTGAATTTTTTTCAACATAATTGTCAAATTGTAACTTCGAAATCAAAGTATTCAATTTCCTCTTGTTTTTCATCATTCATCTTGTTTTGGAGTCAAATCTATCGAAATCGAAATAATCAACCATTTGCTCTTCATCATTTATTTATGTTTAAGAATTAATTTTATTCAAATCAATTATCGACAAGAAGAACTCTAAATGAATTGGGAATTTCTTATTGTTGGGGGTGCAATAATGGGGCTCTTAAGTCAATGTATTTAGTCACTCAAGTGATGACGATCGAATGATATAATAGGTTTAGACTATCCTCATTGGACATCAATTTATTTTAGGACAAAATGATTGAAACCCGACCCTATAAGTGATATCAAAACTAGGCTCGTGTACATGATGAGGAAGAGATTGTTGCATACAATAGGTCACCCTTAAGTCCATAGATTGGGTCACTCAAAATGATAGTGATCAAATGCCATAAAAGTTTAGTCTACCCTCATTGGACACTGGTTGGCTTTAGTATAAAACGGTTGAGACCTGATCCTACAAGTGGATAGTAGTTAGGATCATGGATTCGAGTTACAAGACGTCATGTTGAGGTAGAAGTTGTTGGTGTGCAATATGGTCGTTCTTAAGCTCATGATCGAATCCCTCAAATGATGGTGATCGAATGCCATAAACGTTAATCTATCCTCGTTAGATACGAATTGATTGTCAGATGAGACGGATACTACACTTATTTTGATTTGACTTGAATGTGAACAATGGAATTGGGCATGAGATTTCACTTTCTATTTTCTTTTAAGCTTAAAAACATTGGTTTGGGATGCAGTTGGACACTTTATGTCTATGTCAATAAGATCGTTAATTTTTCGTCCAATGGAGAAAGGGACGTAACATTAAACATTAAGTTCAGTAATTATTCGGATCATTTTTAAATTTTAATAACCGTTCAAATAATGAGTATGCGACTTTGATGATGTTGATATTGATTAACACGTCAGCGATCTTTTTGTCACGTCATCGAAAATGTTAGTTTTTTTTTAACGGGATAGAAAGCGTTTGGATAGAAAATCAAATGGTGAGTTCAATTCTAATTCAGGAAAAGAAATAAAATAATAAAAAAAATTAAAGTTTAATGACAAATGACAACAATCAAAATTAATAGAAAATGTCAAAGGTAATATGAAGAGTACAGGGGAATTACTCGTAAAAGTCATACAGATATAGGTGATGTCAGTGCATCACTGTATAGCTACTTTTTTATATCATGTGCCAATAAAAAACTTCCAAGTGTGCGTCTTTAGAAAATCCGTCCAACTTTTGTTATGTAAGCATAGCTTCACTCAAATATGAACTTACACGATTACGTAATCTTATCAATCTCATCTTAAATAAATAATCTTTTAAAGTGTAATGAAATTCGTCAATTTCGTCACATAATGTTTTTAAAGTCCACAAACCCCTAACGTCGATCTCGTCCAAATTTTAATTATTAACATTTAATAATAATTTACTATAAAATTCGAACTCTAGGTTTTCCATTTCGAATACATAAAAACGCTTTAATTGTTTTATAAATTAATTAGAAAATTATATTTGCACTGGAAAATTAAACAAAGTGACCCATAAAATTTGAAGTTCTCTCTGGCATCTAGAATTTTGAATAGTCCACGAGCCTTACATGTGAAAATCCACGTCAAATGAAATGGTATTGTCAAGTTATTGACAAGTCAAAACAGATAACGACAAGTCTTTTATCTTTTTGTCATGTTTGTATTTGGAAAATACAACGTTAGATAAGCTGGCAGGGTTTGATTCGTTGAATTTGTGTCAAGTCACTAAGAAAATATTGCAACAATGGAATTCTTTAAAAACAACATTAATTTTCCAATGAACTTTCGTAAATTTCTTTTGCGTCATTGGTGACGCTATGAACTTCAAGTTTTACGATTTTGGTCATTATTTTGTATTTCGACACAATCTTAAGTATTGTTGGTTCGATAAAAAAATGTTTTCAAAATGGTGGGCCCCACCCCATGTGAGTGTTATGTCATCCTCTATGTGAATAATTATGTACCCCAAACAAGACCCATCTTTATAACTCAACTATTTGAACTATTCATTTACGGCCATGGGGTCGACATATGAGCAAGGTAAACTCAATTGGAGAAAATAAAAATTGGGGGTACTTCATTGGGCAAGATGATCCAAAAAGCTGAAGGCTCACCCACAAAGCCAATGGTGAGGGAGCTCTCTATTTTTCTAAAATCAATACTTTTTGTATGTAAACCCTTTTTTTTTTTTTTTTTTTCATATTTTTCAATCATATATTCTCAAAAAGAAAAAAAATCACTATTCAAAACTCAATTTTCTCAAAATAATGGTGAAATAACGAAATTCGACCCAACTAATATTTAGAGGGAGGGGTGAATAGGTGTTTATGTGGAATTTAAATTTACGATTAATAAATGCAACAAGTCACTGTTATTAATTAACTCAGATGAACTAACATGCACAATTGTCATATGTTGAATTATTGCAGTTAATAAATTATTGAAAAATAAATAACACTTGAAAATTGTTGACGGAGAAAACATGTAACTGGGTAAAAACTCCGGAGCCAAACCAGTAAAAATCCAATATAAATGAATCAACTTAAAGTGCTGCCAGACTCGATTAACTCTAGTACTTTCTAACCTCATGATTGTAATCACCAACAACTTTTTGGATTACGTGCTCCCGCACCAACTCACGGTATTCTGAATTCGTCTATCTCTTGTGGATCATAGAGAACTCATTGTTTTCTAACAATCGAAACTTCAGTCACCTTCATTGATCTTCGAAGACAGATGTTATTGAAGTATGTGTTTTGATATTTGGTTTATGTGAAGTTAGATGGTGTTTGGTAGGGATTAAAATTTGATTTTTAGTAGATTGTGATAAAAGTTTTTGAAATATGTGATTGAAAAGTTGTGGGACCTATGAAAAATGTGGTTAATATTGATTGTTTGACTTTGACTTTGATTAACATTTGATTTTAATTCGGACAAAACAAGGGCTTATTGTTTTTCAATGCTATTGAAAAATCAAAATAAAAGTTGAACTAATAGAATGATATATATGAAGTAATTTCTTGTTTCTCTCAATTTTCAACTCCGAATTTTCAAATGGAGGCGTAGATATATGGTGTAGAGGTTTTGGGTATTATGGGCCAAATAGAAACCTTGAAAATCGCAAATTAGGTTTTCTTGGGATACACTGTCGCTCGAGCGACAGCCGAGCGACGGTGTGTTGCTCGAGCGAGCTCCAGGCGACAGCGGGCAACACACCTTTTGCTTTTACTTTTACTGCTTGAGTGTCGTTGGGCGATAGNGGCTCTTTTCTCCTGGCTCCATACTCGAACCCTAGGATTTCTAGCCTATACAACTTACCACTTGACACTTTGACTTTTAAAAACTATTTTTCAACAATAATTTTGTCAAAAAATTGTCAACATCTTTAAAACCTAACAAACAGTTGTCAAATAGGGGAATAGACTTTGACAAATTGTAAATGTCCATTTTCCACTTCTTAAATTATTTGAACCATACATGAATTAATTGGCAATTGGAATCTAAAAATATATATTAATTAAATAGAAAAATAATAAATATTTTTTTAAAAAAATGTAAAATAAAGAGCAAAAACAAAGAGAATGGTTGAAATGTATAGATTTTAGTAACTTTATCCCTCGTGTGATTTCTACTTTTTTTAAAATACATCTTTCTTTATTTTCCTTTCAATCACACATTTTTCAATAAAATAATACTACACGTAAATTCAAAACTTTTTATTTTTTATTTTTTAACCTCACATTTTTCATCAACTACTATTTCAAAATGCATTTTACACCAAAAATAGGGCTCAAACGATCCCTTTATACATGTTTGATTTTGTTAAAAATTGTATTTTTAATAAATTTTGATAAAAGTGATTGAAAAGTCACAAATTTCATAAAATATGTTGTTAAATTAATTTTTGATACTGGCTTTAATTTTTATCAATTATTTTAACTAAACCAAAAACTCAAAAATGTTCTCTTTACCTGAAAGTTAATCATTAGAGATAAAAAGTTAGTACGGTCCATTGACTTTTCCATTGTGTGGTAGGATTTTTCTCAATTGAAAAATAATAATTGCTTGTTGATTGGATGACTTATAAAGATATTTTGTTATTACACCAGCCTTTCGAAATTCGAAATCGAGACCCCGGTTCGGCCCGATCCGGTCCATGTCACCCGGACTCGAAACGGTCTATTCCAGATTTGGGTTCATAATATTCACAGATACATAAAATAAATAAATAAATAATAAACACTTCTAAACCGTAGAAAAATGAGAAGTAAAAACTGATTAATGTGAAAGGAAAATACCTTTTCTAACTACCCGCCACGAGCTGTCGACAATTATATATATGGGAACACAGCGATAATGGCCGAACCACGACTTCTGACTCTTTCGTAGTCTCCTCCACCACCACCACCATCACCATCACCAAACCACGAAATATTCCGCGTTTTTCTACACCTCCTGGCCAACTGCCATATATTTCCACGATTTCGGCATTCATTATACTTTCTGTCCATCACGCAACCTGATTGATTACACGTGAATTCGTAAATATAGTAAGTATTGATCGGTGATGTCAATTGAATTGTTTAATTACTTGATCTCGGTTTATTTAGCTTGTTGAATTCGTGTCAGTTTTTATGTGTAGTGTAGATTAAGTACTGTTGAGTAATTTTTGTGTGTGATGAGCTGAGTGTTTTTTCAATAGTTTCAAACTGGCATGTTTCAGGAACTTTTCAGTTTGGTTGAAATAAGTCAGTTCAATTTAGGGTAAGTGGATTTCTTTGCAACTGAGTTTGATTACTTCAGAGCTTAAATCTAGTTTGTATGCGCACATGAACACTATTTATTCAATCTACGATTATGAACTTACCAATTTGTTAGTATAATTCTCTTGATTGTCTTTAATTTCTGAAATTTCTAAAAATTGGAATAGTTCATTTTGTTTCTTACTGGAAGAATTTGCTTTTGCTTGACTAATGGTCCATCATAAATATATATGGACTAGCGATCTCACATTAAATAGTTCCAAAAAAAAAAAAAACTTATAAGAAATGCATATTTAAATTTATAATTCATCCAGGGCAAATAAATTTCTTATCCTAAGAATGAACAATGCTGAATTCTTATTTATCAAGGAAAGGCATGAAGATTCTTACCTTTTTTTTTCTTATTGTGATTGCTGTTTGAAAGGTTTGGAGGGGTATGAAATCTGATTGGCGAAGAAACTTGAGTGAGTAAAGCAGATGATGGCTAATTGAAATGTCTAAACCAATTTTTTGCCCAGATTGTGAGGGGTGGTAGTGTTGAATACAGAAGATTATTCTCATACAGTGCACAAGGTCATGAGTTGTAGCTGCTTTGGTGCATTCTCTGGCCAGAAGAAGTATGATAATCGTGCTCACCAGTCCACACAGGGCCAAGAAGGTAAGTGATTCATGACAGTTTTGCACAGTAAATTACGCTTTCAATTCGAATTTGGTTCATATAGTCTGACAAATTCTCATCGATCATGTTTTACATCCTTTTCTGATTTTCTAGGTGCTCCTAGTTTTGTCTGGAATGCATAATTCAAGTTGTTAACATGCTGTTATAGTGCTGAGCTGAATGTCATGTCGAAATAAGTACTTTAAATATCTTTTTGTGCTATAGTTGGGAATCATTCTAGATAAACACTTTGTTTCTTATTGTTGTTTGGGCATCCTATCTCATACTAGATGTTCTAATAGAATTAGGCAAATTATTTGCTTTATTTATATTTGTGATATTTCACTTCTAAGTTCCATTGAATTTAAAACCTGGAAAAACAAATTAATTTTCTAGTTATGTTTAGAGAACGCAATAACATGAACAGTTTAGCAAATTATATAATTGATGAGATTTTCTGGAATCGTTAAGATTACCTGATAAAATTCTTTGATCATTAACTTTTTATGTTGCCTCTAAAGCGGATACTGGATAATAGGCATTACCTAAGCACTTAATCTTACATTAGAAAAGGATATGATTTTTACTTTACAAACCCTATAACATGATTAGATTTTTTAACATATTAAGTATATGACGTTGGTTCGTCTAATCAGTTATCTAAATTTTAGTACCTGTTGGAAAGGAGATAATTGAACGAGGAATTATCTTCAACTTACACTCTAACAAGGGGAAGAAACAAAGGGAAGGACATTGTCCCACATGGAATTCAAAGGAAAAACTGTAGAATTTATACTTCCAATTTAGAAAGGGGTTTGTGCCACAATGGACACCCAATTTTGTGGGAAGGGAGAAGACCTCCATTGTGAGGGGTTGAGCCAACACAGTGCTGCCCCAGCCCAACTCGGGATTGGTCTTAGGCTTGAATATGAGAAATACTACAAGATTTTTAGTACTGGCTGGTAGTTGACACATTTTACCATTTCTTAACCAGCTTCCGGCACAAGCCAAAATGGTGGGTCAAACTAACCAATTTAATATTTCTAAATCCACAATTGGCCCAATCCCAAGTGGTTTGTCCTTTCCAGAAAGTTATAACTTTTCAGAATGGCCCAAGTGGTGTCCTTTCTGGAAAAGTACTTCTTTTCAGATTGGCTATGTCGTGTGTTCTTTCCGAAGAGTTGTTTTCATTCCTATTAGTCACTAGCCTTTTTGAACAGTTTCAAGGTTTCATTAAAATGCAACCTTCTCAAAAAGTTATCACTACTTTCCAAATAGCCACAAACAAGTATAGAATAGGACTCTCAAGATTGCATTCTATACACCTTTACACAAAACTTCTCCCGAGCACACAAAATGGAACTGTAGACAATCAAGTGAAATCCAATCCATGAAATAATTTCATCTTTGAACAACATCATTGTGGTAAAATTACTCTATCTGCTTAAAACAAGAAGAGTAATTGATCAACTCTGTGGACTCTCGTATGAGGATAACTTATGATACTAGAACTCATGTCATATAGAGCATGCTATCCCATTTTAAATTGGTTTATTCTGCAGCAGCAAATACTACTTTTAATATGGGTACCAAGAAAACCAATTTAGTCATTATTAACTCCGGAGTTAACATAGGAACAAAAACTCTGTTGCATCCTGAGGAAACATTTGCTTATGGCACCACTAGAAGGAGCAAACTTGTTTTAAAGAGACATCTTGAACAAGTTGAGTATGGATTGCTGCAAGTTTATTCCGTCTCCTTCTGTTTTGATAACTGGAATACATTAGACAGTGGACAACACCATCGTCGACAATTGACTTTTAACCCTCTTTTCTTTTGCAAATTAAATATATCAACGTAACGAGGCATATGTCATCAATTTTATTTCTCAGTTTTCCCGAATCTATACCAGTAAAACAACTCTGTAATAAATTAGCCTCTTCCACATTCTCTGTCATCTTATTATATCATTTGAATAGCCTTTTATGTTAGAGATGCTTAATGTGTGCTAGATATGCCCATCCAAGCATGTAATCTAGCCGAACCTTGTTTATCTTTGAGTTTCTGAGTGCACATCCACATAGGATAAAGTAATTAGGCCTCTATTACCTACTTAGGAACACTACCAATGTTTGGACTGGTTAAGTTATAGTTGAACATTATGATTCCTTTACTTTCATCCCAAACTTTGAATATGTCTCTTCTTAGTTGTTCCAGATTTTATCTCTTGGTTTTATTTTTTTTTATTTTTTTATCTTCATTTTTCAGGGGACTCAATGGCAAAGACAAAAAATTTCTCATACAATGAATTAAGAATAGCTACGGACAACTTTCATCAAAGGAACAAAATAGGGCGAGGAGGTTTCGGGACAGTTTACAAGGCATCATTCATTGTTACAAAGTTTATTTTCCTATTGTATCAGCTATTTAACCTGTCATGCCTTTGGCGTTATCTCTTGAATATCTTTTAGAAAGAGTTGAAAAAAATTCATGAATTTATACTGAAAGATGATTAATCAACTATGCTGTGCTTCCTTTTTCACTACTTTATTTTGCACACGTTATCCCTCCTTCCCTGACAATTATGATATGCTAAGGCTGTAACTCTTTCACTTCCCATCTTTGTGGACGAGTGCTTAGCTGCTTAAATATTGGTGCAACTAATCTTTATGAGCTTCAGCCAAGTCCTGGGCTTCAAATCGTCCAAATTTTAACCTTCCATTCGAACCAGACTTGTGACACATTGCATACACAATTATATACTGGTTTAGTCAGAAAATAGCTATCAGGATGATTTATCTTGCCGGAATCCATGCATTCAGCATTGAGAAGGGCAACAACTTATCTGAAATATTACACTAAAATTGTCCAGGCTGTAAGTAGCTTCAGCAAAACTGCAACTAGAAGAAACTTAAATCGTAATAATTTCATCCTCTTGAATGGTTATGTCACAGTGATGGAAGGTTTAGTTATAAATTTGGTATTGGGACACTCGTTGGAATAAGTTTGTTATCTATGCCTGCAGTACTATTTTTGTTTTTTTAACTCTGCTTCTATTTCATAGGGAATTCTCAAAAATGGGACAACAGTTGCTGTGAAGACACTTTCTGCTGAGTCAAAACAGGGAGAGCGCGAGTTTTTAACTGAAATTGATACTATATCCAATGTTAAACATCCAAACCTTGTTGAATTAATTGGATGCTGTCTTCACGAAAGTAACCGAATTTTGATATATGAATTTTTAGAAAATAACAGCCTAGATCGTGCATTATTAGGTAATTTGACAGTGTCCTAGGGTGTCTAAAATGATTCATTGAAATCATAATGAACAAAGGAGTGTTGAGAACAACAATTGTGTTTGCAGGTTCAAGGAGGACTATAAATTTAGACTGGAAAAAAAGATCTGCTATCTGCATGGGCACTGCCAGAGGTCTTGCATATCTTCATGAAGAAGTTGTGCCGCACATCGTTCATCGAGACATCAAAGCTAGCAATATACTTCTCGACGATGACTTTGAACCCAAAATTGGAGACTTTGGATTGGCTAAACTTTTTCCTGACAATATTACCCACATCAGCACAAAAGTAGCAGGAACCACGTACGTCACCTTTTTTCTCTACTTATATCACTCACATTGGCTCAAAAAGAATATGAAATAATTTATATCTGTATATAGCGTGTAAGTTGTTTCAGAATCCACTGTATCTATTTACGTATGTAAAGATCTCAATACAATTTTTTGAATCAAACACTTATCTGATGTGGATTTTTCTTGGCGTTTGAAGTTTTTGCCGAAGTTAATGGAAGTTCTGAATTCTTCTAAGTTCTACCTTCATTTGTTCTCAACAGTGGTTACCTGGCACCTGAGTATGCATTAGGTGGTCAGTTAACAATGAAGGCTGACGTATTTAGCTTTGGGGTTCTAACACTTGAAATTGTAAGCGGCAGGAGTAGTGGAAATTTTGGAAGAACGCAAAAGTTACTCGTGGAATGGGTGCGTGATATCTTTGATTTCCTGGATAGCTTTTTGTATCACTGTTAATCTACTTGAAATGCTAGCATCTGCGATAAGATCAGTCTTCCTCCCAAAAAACAATTATGAATGCCTTCTTTTTCTCCACATTAATAAAATAAAATAGCATAATTGTGTTCATACATATAGCAAATTCTGCACTAAGAAAAGAAGTAAATTATCACCTTTTTTGGATAAGTTACCTTTTTCTTACTTTTAAGTAAAAAAGTTACTTAATTTGAAGGTTACTCTTACAATACTGGTAAAATTATTTCCAGTTTCAATCAATGAAAAAAAAAGTTATTGTAAAACTTACTTAGCCCCCGTTTGACTTTGACTTGTACTTTTATCAACTTTTTAAGCTACATCAAGCAGGGCTTTAATGTACTTATAAGTAAATAGTTTGAGCTTAGCACTCATTAGATCTTACACTTCTCATTGGTTTCTATACTATTCCCTTTCTAGTGATGCTTGTTTATTGTTTGCTTCACAGGCATGGGAGCTTTATGAAGAAAAGAAGCTGTTGGAGTTAGTAGACCCAGAACTTGGGGAGTTTCCAAAGGAAGAAGTTCTCAGGTACATGAAAGTGGCTCTCTTCTGCACCCAAGCAAATGCGAACAGAAGGCCAGTGATGGGTCAGGTTTTGGAAATGCTCTCTAAAAATGTACGGCTTAATGAAAAAGAACTTACACCTCCTGGATTCTTCCAAGATTCAGGTTTGGTAACTGATACAACGTTAAAGAATAAGTCATCTGAAAGTTCGACGAGCAATCAGATGAGCTCTTTTCCCATCACTATTACTCAGGTGACTCCCAGATGAAGCTTTACCAGAAATCCTCTGGGATATGTTACGACCTGCATTAACGACAGGTGATGGCAAAGAATGGAAGAACTTTTTTAAACTGTAGCTTATTCAAATTCCATGTTAGCTGGCATTTTTAGTGGCCTTTTTCTTATGCATTATTTTTTTGTGCGGGCTGGGATGTGGGGATATTATTTGGGGTGGGTTTGAGATCTACACACACAGAAAGTGACATTGATCAATGAGGTTCTAATATTTTGTATCTGCATGCATATGCTACATTTGAAATATATACTATTTTTAATATATAGTTTATGATTGAATTGTTGCGGCCTTGAATATTTTTGTCGTGGTGTTTGTTGAACCTCGTCGTTGATACGAAAACATAGCTGACACACTCGACTTTGCACGTCTGTGACTTGCAATAAGACCGGAAACAACACTACTAATGGCTATTAGCTTCATCAAGATTAATTGGGGTTTGAAATTATTTTTTACAGAGGTTTTTGATAGAGCCCTGTCTTTAAATTTGCATATTTAATAGAGTAAATTCACTTAAAATAAAATTATTAAACTCATTAGTCATCTTTTGCTAGCTATTTCAAGTCCACCATTTAACGGTTTCTCATTTTGAAACATGTGTCGTATAGTTGGTTGTCAGTTCTCCTACACGATATCAAGAACACAACCCAATGATGGAGAAATATAGCCGAAAATAAGGCCCCTATGGGCATGGCACAATGGTAAAATATGCGAGGTTTCTATGGAGTATTGGAAGTTCGAATCTCAACGACAGCTGGAAGACAACATTTTTATTGGAAGACAGATGTCATGTGATGGCAAAGTTATGGTGCGCTGTATCACATCTTCGGGGATCATGTTTGCACGTCGTAAAGGGAGGTCAACATAGAGTAGAATCGCTTCTCAAATATTTGATCCAAGTGTTTATAAACAGTTACCACATCCGAATTTACTCGGATGGCGAACCAGAAGGAAGGCCGCCACTCCTCAAAATTAGTTGAACGAAACTCGGGCTCCTGAGTCACCAAAAAAATATAGTCGAAAATGAGTCAAAGGGTTAAGGCCGTGAATTAGATTAATTAAATCCATGTCGTGTAACAATTTTCAACTCGCTATTGTGAACTCACCTAGCAAGAACATTTCCTAAGATTCGAGAATGCGAAGTTGACCTGAAAACTCACTTGATAAAATGGACCAAATTTTTTATTTTTCCTTCTGTGTCGATCAATCCCTGCTAACTTCTACCTTATAAGGTAGGAGACATGATATGACAGTAGAGTCAAACAAGGGCATTGAGCTTTTAATAAAGTTACTTGTACAAAGTTGAGTTACAAAAGTTGGGTTACAAAGTGTTGGTAAATTCAGACCGTTGATTTTAAATGATTTACAAATATATTTTTAAAATGATTGGTGTAGATGTTACTTTGTCAACCAATTTTGTAACATAACTTTGTACATGTAGCATAACTCAAAAAAATTCGATTTATGTGTAAAATTATTTTATTGTGGGTGAAATTTTTTTTTGGGAAAAATGGAGCACAAAGAAGGGCATAATAAAGTTTTTTTTTATTATTTTAATTACTTTAAGATTATTAAATATAACTCTCACTAATTAATTAATTAATTAATTTTAAAGGCGTATACTGCCTTTTTTCACACATTTTTCATACGCGGAATGCTTTCCTCACGCCCAAACTCGTCTAGGACTGTCTTTTCTCCCTCAAAAACACCGATAAAACCTCAGCATCACAGGAGGTTCACCAAGAGAAAAGGTCTGTTGTGTCAGTTTAGATTAAATTCTTGTTGAAGAGAACTAATCTCGATCACTTAAAAACACAGTTAATGAAAAATGCACCATTCAATTAAATTACCTTGAGAAAATCTAACTTGAATCGGTAATCAAATCGATCAGCATAAAGCCAAACAACTCCGATCCATGAGATACCATACCATTGTCCATGTTTCATTTATTCAGCAGTTCATGGATTGAGATGCCGAGTTCAGTCAGAAACACCTTTGAAGAGAAGAAATTTGACTCCATTTCCTAAGTTTTTAAATTATATTATGAAGACGTTAATCGAAAGTCAATCATTAAAAAGGAAAATGTTTAACAAACAATAACTAGTACACAACAATATGTACTTAATTTGTAAAAGCTCAAACATGTGAACGTCACCAGCCGTAGTTTGTACTCTAGGTAGTATGGCACAGCAAAATGGATGAAACAAGGAAAGAGGAATCGCGGGAGTAAGCAACCAAAAGTAGAAAAATTAGCTAGCAGGCTGGTCGTTGGCTGGCACGGCTGTGAGTTCTTCAGATGGCTGTGAAGAACTACTGGCAGCAGAATCTTTGGCAGGTGCTTCTTTGGTCGCATTTGATTCTGCATCTTTTCCATTTTTGACAGTCTTTCCATCCTTAGCATCTTTCTCGTCCTTAGGAGGAGCAGGAGGTGGTGGCAACATGTGAGGTGGGGGGTTATGCTTCAGCTTCACCAGTATATGGCGCATTCTTGAAAGCTCGGTAGGCTTGCCAGGTTTTGGCCCTTGGACGACTGTGATCGATGGCTTCTTGTCTTTATCCTTCTTCTTCCCCTTCTTTTCAATATTGGGTACCTCATTAGGAACGAGCTCGGCTATGGCTTTCCAATATTGTTTATCGGCTTCTTTATGGAACTTTTCTAGGCTGGCCAGAAATGACTGTTAACAGTATAGGAATTCAACAAATGAATTTTTTTATCAGAAACTAAAATGAAAAAGAATCAAGAAAGGGTATAACTCTATATAACACAACCTTTTCTTTCTCTCTGTTACTAGTCTTGTTAGTCTCTAAACCAAGCTTTCTTTTTTCGTAGAAATTTATTTTATACTCTTCAGCATCCTCTAGAATTTGGTTCCGCAGTTCTTTTTCCATCTTCTCCTTCTCCTCAAGCCGAATGGCATTTTGCCTGCATAAAAATTGTTATGAAATTAACAAGGTTCTCAACACACTAATATTTCATGACATTTACACAAAAAAAAAAAAATAGAAGGCAGCCAGGGGATTTTAGGTAACACCAAAAACTGGTAACTTCAAATCTTTATCCCTCTCTTTAAAGGACTAATCTGTTCCATAATTCATGCTTTGACTTGGGGTGAGAGGGGGGTGCGGGCGGATTTTAGATGACCCCCAAAAAACTGGTAAACTTAGCAACTTTGTCTCACTTTCTCTAAAGCATCTTTCTCTAATTCCATATTCAAGCTTTTCGTGGAATATCCACGACTGCTCTATGAACTACTAAGAGAAAAAAGATCGTAGCGTACATCACAAGAATTTGAACTTTTATGAGGTGAAAGTACATGGTGGATTTTATCATTGAAGACTCCTAACCATAAGAATTTGTTAATGGACCAGTCAACTCTTGCCATCTCATCAAAATCATCCTCAGAGGAAAGAAGGATGAGAAATAAATAACATTAAAATGGATGTACGAATACGAATCTTGGATTGTCATCTGAATATAATCTTCAATATGTTTGAAAATCTAAATTTCTGAACTGGTTTACATACAAGGCACAGAGAGTTCATTTTCGAATGGTTCTATTATAATGGTTCTATCAGCATAATGCTTAGCATTTACGATCTATTGTATAATTGATATTTAGTCCTTGTTCGGACCTTATTTTCCAACTCTTTTTTTCCCGAACTCATTTTCAACTACACATCTCCCAATAAAATAATTTTACACATTATCCTATATCTTTTCCATAGTTTTACCCATGCATTCTTCAAAAATCACTTTTCACAAAATCTATTCTCAAACAATCTCTACCAAACAAGGGATTAAGATTTACCACAAAGTTTGTGCATGAATTTTGTTACCATATGCTTTACTTAAAACAGCCTCTTCACATATAGCAGATATATAGATAAAATTTTCAACCGCCAAAGTACTATCAAACTATAAAAGATCATCTTTCCAAAAACTATGCCCCTATTTGAGCCCCATTTTTGAGCCAAAATACATTTTAGAATAATATTTTGTTGGAGAATGTGTGATTAAAAAGTTTTGAATTTGAGTTTAAAATTATTTTATAGGAAAATATGTGATTGAAAATAAGTTTTTGAAAAAATGGGAGCCAAACATAGACTATATAAAATTCCACAAAACTCTCACAATGCTCTAAAACCAGGTACCTTGATAGTGCCAATCAGCATATTAACACAAATACCAGTGCAACCACCCTCAACTTCATGCTCACACACTGCAGAACAACTAAGGTCTATTCTACGTTTTTTTAAAACTGACTAAGACCTATTCACAATAATTTTCGACCACTGCTCTCAGTGAATTATCCAATAAAATCAAATATCTACAATCACATTGAGTGTGTCCATTTTGTGTCCACTTGCCCTTTCCTTGAACATATTTCATTGTGATTGCACCACTACTACTAATAAGAGTTTCTTCGAGAATCTACATAAGACATACCCAACCATCTACATGTCACCACTAGGAGGGAAGCTTCTCTTAGAACAGTTTTATACACGCACATGGTAGAATTGTCCATTCAAATCATGACACCTAGGACTTGCCACTCAAATCATGACCCCTCGACATCGCACACCCACTTTATTTCTCTTACCACTTTGGATGTCTGGGTGTCACGGTTTAAGTTGCTTGAGGTTCGAAATGTCGCGATTTAAGTGAACAGTCCTACCATGTGTGCATATAGGATCATCCCATTGAAGTTTTCCTCCACTCGTAGTTATTGTCTATTGACGTATATCCTTATCTCTTATTTGATCTATTCTAATGTGGTACACGCCCATTTTAGTGTCTTTTTAGTATTGTGATCATACTAAACCCTTGTTTGAGCTACATTTTGAGAGAAAAAAAACGCATTTTTGAATAATAATTTTTGGAGAATGTGTGATTAAAAATGAAGAGAAAGTTTTCAATTTACGTGTAATATTACTTTATTGCTTTATTGGAGAACAGTTCTATACATGCACATGGTAGGATTGTCCATTCAAATCATGACACCTAGGACTTGCCACTCAAATCATGACCCATCAGCATCGCACACCCACTTTATTTCTCTTACCACCTTGGATGTCTAGGTGTCAAGATTTAAGTTGCCTGAGGTCCGAAGTGTCGCGATTTAAGTGGACGGTCCTACCACGTGTGCATATAGGATCATCCCATTGAAGATTTCCTCCACTCGTAGTTATTGTCCATTGACATATATCCTTTCTCTTATTTGATCTATTCTAATGTGGTACACGCCCATTTTAGTGTCTTTTATTATGATCATATTAAACCCTTGTTTGAGCTACATTTTGAGAGAAAAAAATGCATTTTTGAATAATAATTTTTGGAGAGTGTGTGATTAAAAATGAAGAAAAAGTTTCCAATTTACGCGTAATATTACTTTAATGGAGAATGTTTGGTTGAAAATGAATTTAGAAAAAATTAGTTTTTGAAAAAATGGGGCTCAAACAATGACTAAGGGTATATTTCCTTTTAACAACGCAAAACCAATGTTCTAAATGGCACCGCCAAGGAGCGAGGAGTGGCAAAAACTTCACGCCTTGGACCTATGCGCTAATTTAGCAATCAACGGAAGTGTTGACCGAGACTTATGTGCTAATTTAGCAGTCAACGAAAGTGATGATCGCTTTAAGGCACATCTAGGCTCGCATAGGCGCATTGGCGCGCATTATTATTATTATTTTTTACACTACAAAAAAGTTTTCAATTTTTAGGTCAATTGGATTTAAAAGCCCAAAAATTAATAATTATAAATTTTTCAACTTTTAGGCCATAGATTGAAAGGCCCAAAAAGTTGCTTACCCACTTATTGGTCCTCTAATTTATAGAGGGCATTTCCAATGATTTTGTTGTAAACTTTCGATGTCCGATAAGAATTCCTTTAATTTGGCAGTAGTATATTGTACATTTGGTTTGGCGGTAATGAATTGTACATTTGGTTTGGTAGTGTATTGTAGTATAAATAGTTATTTATATTTTATTAAGTTAATTAATCATTTCCCTATCTTTTACTAATTAGTAAAAATTTAACTCTCCAATTATTTCAATTAGGACTATTATAATATATCTAATAGCTATTTGTGTACCACATGTTTTTAACTCAATAGTTATCTTCCAATCACTCAAAATCCTTGAAGTACTTACACACGTCATCATTATCTAACTCAAAAACCACTAATGTAGTAATTTTATCCCGGGTCTAAGTTGAAATGAACTTACACCACAAAATGGATCTATCTTGTCTGTCCGAATACAAACCACACCTTCAGTCCTTTTCACAGTTCAAAAAACCCGAAATCATGCGCCATGAAATCAAAGTTAGATCCTTAAATTACAACTACTCAACCATCTAATGACCGGTAGCTTTTTTCCCCCACAAAACTACACCTAAAAGTTTACACCTTTTATGATTGCGAAGAAATTGTCTTCGGACCATCACCCTGAGTATATAATCAAGAAACTCGAATCAAAGTTTCTATTTGGTTTCATATCAATATAAAGAGAAAAAAAAGAATCTCCTCTAAATAATTAAATCTGTCTTTGAAAAGTTCTCATGAAAAAGAATGGATATCCAAGACAAGCTAAATAGCAGATCTAAAGTTTGTGTAAGTTCGCAACACGAAACTTTATCCAAATCAAATTAACCAAGATTCAACTAAAAATTTCTGACCTCCTCCATTCGCGTAGAGCAAATCCTTCTTCGGGATGCAATTCAGATGGAGGCGGAAGAATCGGCCCATCGGAGCTGAATATTCCCTCAGAATCTTCCCCCGTATCATATGGCGGCTTCCCGTTACCATTCGAGATCGGGACCGTCGTAGATGATCCAAACGGATCAGGATTTGGCCCGTACCCGAACGGATCGGGGCTGTCCACGTGATCCACCCCTACTTCCTCCGATTCTCCGTACTCTGGGGTGTAGACTCCTGCTCCAGCGGCGGCAGAGTAAGGCGGAGTGTCAGCAGAGGGAAAGGCGTTGTAGGACTCGTCGTAGCCGGTGTACCCGCCGTCGTCGAACTGACGCGTCCCGTCACCGTCCGTGCTGTATGCGTCGAACGATGCCATCTCTCTCTCCAAACTCTATGTATAAAGTCTACCCCTCTCTAAATATACGTGCCTGTATCATAAAAAGGATGACCCACATATTGTCCTCACCTATTATGTTCTGAATATTGATGAATGAGATAAATTGCAGATTATGCCTCCAAAATATAGGGTGGAAGGCTGCTTGTAAATTTATACTTATTCAATGGCCAAATTCATATTTCAAGATTCGGACCCTTGACACAGCAACCTCAATCAAAACTAAAATTTTTCCACCTTCCCATTTTATCACTGAAAGATGTGCCCTGCAGGCTACGTGCCAGTATTATAATCTTGCGAATAAGTGGATTTTTTTCTCCTAACTTTTCCTTACCCAGTTTTTACAGTGGAAATATACTTACAATGTTTGATAGTAGTTATTTGACAAAAATAATATTTTGAATAATGAATTTTTGTATAAAGTGTGATTAAAAAGTAAAAAAATAAATTAAATTTACATGCAAAATGTGTGAATATGTGTTTGAAAATGAATATATATATATA